ACACATTTATGATAAAAACTCTCACCAAAGTGAGAATAGAGGGAACATACATCAACATATTAAAGGCCATATATGACAAATACACAGCCAACATCATAGGGAAAAACTAAAAGCATTTTCCTTAAGATCAGGAACAGGATAGAGTGTTTACAATCACTACCTGTTCAAGATAGTACTGGAAGTCCTAGCCACAGCAATCAGACATGAAGAGTTAATAAAATACATCCAATTTGGAAAGGAACAAGTAAAACTGTTGTTAATTGCACATGACATGATACTGTACATAGAGAAACCTAACTATTCAACCTAGAAACTAGTAATGCTGCTAAAAGAATTCAACAAAGTAGCAGGATACAAAATTAATACCCAAAAATCAGTTGCACTTTTACACACCTGTGAAGAACTATCACAAAGGGAAACTGAGAAAACTACCCAACTTACAACTGAATCAAAAAATAAAAGTAAAATACCTAGGAATATAGTTAACTAAGGATGTAAAATACCAGTACTTGGAAAATTATGAGTCACTGAAGAAAATACAAATAAGTGGGAGTATATATCATGTTTAGGGATAGGAAGAATTAACATCATTGAAATTTCCATACTATCCAAAGCAATCTACAGATTCAACACAATTCCTATCAGATTCCAAAGATGTATTTTACAGATCTAGAACAAATATTTCAAAAATTTATATGGAACCACAAAAGGGCCCACATAGCAACAGCAATCCTGAGAAAGGAAAACGGAGTTGGAGGAATCGCTCTACCTAATATGAAACTATGCTATAAGATCCTAGTAATCAAAACAACATGGTAATGGCATAAAAAACAGAGATCAACAGAACAGAAAAGAGAGCCCAGAAATAAACCCACACCTCTATAGTTAATAAATATTTGGCAAAGGAAGGGAGCACAATAATTTATTCGATAAATGGCACTGGGGAAATTGGACAGACAGATAAGTGCAGAGAAATGTACCCAGAGCACATTCTTATACCACACACAGGAATACATTCAAATGGATCAGACTTAAATGTCAGGCCTGAAACCATAAAATCCTAGAAGAAAACATAAGCAGTAAAATCTCAGACATTGTTCTTAGCAATATTTTATCTGCTATATCACCTCAGGCAAGGGAAACAAAAGAAAAATAAACAAATGTAACTACATGAAGCTTAAAGGTTTTTGCACAGCAAAGAAAACCATCAACAAAATAAAAAGACAACCCACGTAATGGGAGAACACATTCACTAATACATCTGATATAAGGTTAATACCCAAAATGTATAAAGAACTTATAAAACTCAACAGATACACACACAAAAAAAATCCAGTTAAAAAATGGGCAAAGAGTATAAATAGACACTTCTCCAAAGAGGACATACAGATGGCCAATAGATATATAAAAAGATGTTCAATGTCACTGATCATCAGAGAAATGCAAATTAAAACTACAATAAGATACCACCTCACACTGATTAGAATAGGAGTCATCAATAAATCAACAAATAACAAGCGCTGGAAAGGGTGTGGAGAAAGGGAACTTTTTGCACCTTTGGTGGGAATGCAGGCTTGTGCCGCCATTGTGGAAAGCAGTATGGAGATACCTCAAAAAATTAAAAATGGATCTGCCTTTTGACCCAGTGATCCCACTTTTGGGAATATATCCAAAGAAACCTAAAACACTAATTCAAAATAATATAAGCACCCCTTTGTTCATTACAGCATTATTTACAGTCACCAAGATATGGAAGCAGCCCAAGTGTCCATCAGTAGATGAGTGGATAAAACAACTAAGGGACATTTACACAATGGAAGAGAACTTGGCCTTGAAAAAGAACAGTTTACCCTTTGCAACAGCATGGATAGACCTGGAGAATGTTATGCTAAGTGAAATAAGCCAGACATAGAAAGAAAAATACCAGATGATTTCACTCATATGTTGAATCCAATGAACAAACCAAACTAATGAGGAAAATGGGGACAGGCTCATAGATAGAGATCAGGATGACAGCTAGTCAGGGGGAGGTTAGGGGTGGAGGGATTGAGCAAAAAGGAAAAAGGACTCATGGACATGGGCAACAGTGTGCAGAATGGTGGGAGGGGGTATAAGGGGACTAGAACATAATGGAAGACATACAATAAAAAATTTTAATAAAATATATTTTTAAAAGGTGAAATACTCATATGATCTGAAGAGAAACCAGAGTAAAAAAATATTTTTTTAAAATACAGCTAAAGAATTAAACATAGGTCAGCTGGAAACCGAAGACAGTCTGCGGAAAAGGAAAAGCAGGGAGGATGCAATAATGACTAACAGTTATGATGACCAATCATGTGCCAGGCACTAGGCAAAGCACAGCCATGCATTCTCTTTTGAAATCCTTACAACAGCCCTGTGAGAGGGGTCCTCCTGTTAGACACACTTCCCAGATGAAAAATGGGGCTCTGTGATGTTGATCACCCATCTAGGAAGAAGTGGAGTCAGGACCCAACACCAGATCGTCTGGCTCCCATGTCCCAGTTTTTATTCACCTTGGTAATAGTCAGCCACTGAGTCTCCTAGACTCAGCACTGTCCAGGAGAGAGGTTTATAATGGCCCTGTATCCCAAACTGTCTTAGCTCCTTTGACTGTATATCCACTAAACAACCTTGAGGTTTTAATTTGGCCTTTCTGGTGTCATGACAACAGGGAAATTGTAAATTTCATGAGCGTAGTTTCTCCCTGCAAAATGAAGAACTTCCGGTGTCTTGTCTACCTTGGCCTCCTGCTCACTCAGTTAGGGAGGGTCAGGTCCTCAAGCCTGAGCCCTCCACCCCACCCTCCCTCCCAGCTCTGTAACCTGGGGCCAGATCCTGGAACGCCACAGCTGCATCCAACCCTCCAACAGTATGCCTCCAATGGTATAAAATCTCCACCATTTCCAACCTCCAACTTTTACTTTTGTTTCCTATAGATATCACACCTCAATGTCCCTCTTTAGCTATGGGGAAATGGCAAATGCAAACATGTTAATAGTTTGAGAGCTTTATCCTCTGTATCAACTATGTGCTCTTTTCTTCCCCTCTCTATATCAACATGTTTTCTTTAAAGCAAAAAGACTCCCCATATCAATTCTCCTTAAAACTGGTTAACTCATATATACTAATTCTATTAGTGTCATCAAGATCAGCTTGCCTTTGTCCAGCTTCTGGGCTCTGTTAGAAAGAAATATATAATGTTTGAGCTAGTTCCTTGATCGCTACACTAACAAAATTCTTTCCAACAGAAAGAATTTTATATATATTGCTCATATAGAATACATTAAATATAGCATCTACATATAAAATACATTTGTATCTACCTTGTATCTAAAGGAAGAGGCTCTGCCAAGCACAGGTCCCCCCAGGTCCCAAAGGCATGTCCTACCTACACCCCTTCTCGGGACCCACTGATACAGGCATGGCCTGATTCTGCAGGGAGGAGCTGTGAACCAGGGGGAGCTAATCTGAACACTCACAACCACTTGCCAGGGCCTGATGTGAAAAAGTGAACTCAGGCCATCAGAGCGCCACCTTCACAATTTGACTGGGAAACACCCAAAGGCAGGGTTAGAAATGATGGTGCTGAGAGTCAAAGGGGGCATGAGGTTGCGTTTGGGCCAGCACAAGCCACCAGCACACTGACACATGAGGGGGTAGAAAGTTACAGTAGTCTAAAAAGAGTCAAGAAGTTGTGTGGAACTGAGAAGATGAGAATGGAATAGATTCATGCAGAAAAGCATGTGCCAGGTAGTCCTGGTTTTCAGAATTAAAACCAGTAGAGAAGGAACGAAGGATGAATGGGGCTTAGGAGGAGGAAAGGAAGTGAACCAAAGAATCAAGGGTAATTAGAAGTGAGCAAATGAGTGGCCCAATCAGAGGTGTGATAGAAAACCCTCTCATTTTGCTTTAAGCACCTGTATGTCATATTCCAAAGGAAGGAAGGAAGGAAGGGAGGAAGGAAGGGAGGGAGGGAGGGAGGGAGGGAGGGAGGGAGGGGAGGGGAGGGGGAGGGGAGGGGGAGGGAGGGGGAGGGGAGGGGAGGGGAGGGGAGGGAGGGGGAGGGAGGGGAGGGGAGGGAAACACTGATACGTTGTATAACATATATGATGTCCTAAATTCTCACCAAAGACAAACTTGCTCCACAGGGCACTCAAGTTTCTCACCTAGTTTCCACTAGAATAAGAAAGAATCTTTCCTACCAGTCATAGATTCATCCTTTCTTCTGATGACAAGATTTATATGGCTGATCACATACCAAAGTAAAGATAGCACTGTGATGGTCTATAAGTTTTATTAGTGTGAGCAGAATAACTAGAGGCCTTACGCTTAGCCATTTTTCTAGACATGGCCTACAGTCAACACGCTATATTATTGTCTGTCGCAAACGTCCTGTCACTGCTGCTTAATACCCTGCACAATGTACAGTCCTCACCCCAGTCCTGAGGTTCTTCAGTTTCATACCAACACTAATTCAACCCTAATTCCGCATTGGTATGAAACTCTTCCATAAATGCTCCAATTTCTAAGAAGTTTCGCTTCCCACATAAAGCAAACACATTTCTTTTCATTAAGGCTGCTTACTTGAGCCCTTTTGCCATTCTTGCTAAATTCTCTGCTTCCACTGGGGAAGCCAGACATTGAAGGAGGCTACTGAAAAGTCAAATCAAAAGTAAAATTAAAGTACATTTTCTGGGCCCTGCAGAGCGCACAAAAATGGATCCTTGTCCTAGTGGAGCTGCGAACACCATGGTGGAAATGCGGCACTTGGCATGCAGCTCGCAGGCCCCATTCCCTTACAATTGTACCTGGGTGTCAGACACCACTGTTGGCTGCAGAGTTGGTGAGTGTTTAAAACGGTTCGTGTCTGCCTTCAGAAAAGTGAGAGTGAAGGGAAGACAGGTGTGTTTAACACAGCATGTGTTTTTTCTAACTAGCCAGCGACAATTTGCAGAAACAGTTATACAAGTACTTACTATTTATAACTCATGGCCACATCCACAAAATACTTTCTTCTCTGTCGATAGACATTGTCCTTAAATCCCTTAAACAGAAGAGAGATTAAGTGATTTAACAGAGTGTCAAAAAAATTAGCTGCAGAAGGCCTAAAAGAAAACCACTGCAGTGGTGAGTATTCAGTTCAAGTGTAAATTTTTATCCTTGTGTGGCCACCTTGATGACACAGGCAGAGGGGAGTTGTGCTCGCAACAAAACCTCATTGCACTGGGACTGCACTAATCTGGGAAGTGTGGGAGTTCGAGCTGCAGTTTCCCTTCCCACTCTGTGGGCAGAACGGCATAGTCAAGTACATAGATACAGTGAACAACATCCTTTGGTTTTTATTTACATGTAAGATCTTCAGCACAAGTGAATCTTATCCTTTTCATTAAAACATGTCCCTTTAACCTCATTATTCGGTAAGTTAACCTAAATTTAATTGCCTTGTGTAAATGATCAATAAGTGGGCATTTATTAAAAACGCCATCTTTCACAGTAACTATCAAATCCCCAAATTAGTATAACTTAAAGAGGTTTTGCTGTATTTTATGAATATAGGCACACAATGCAAAACCAATTATAAGGGACTCATGCACAGGATAGTAGGTTAGTTCCGTTCTACTTTGGATTCCTATGACTCCAGGGAGTCTTTAGCAACTTCAGGACTTTTATCCATCATCATAACACTTGAGAAATTAAATATCCTGTCATTCTTCACTCATGTGAAGAATTCTCTCCTTCTGAGAGAATTTCTTGGTTTACTCAAGAATCTCTCCTCTTGTCAACAGGCTTTCCATTTTCTTTTTCTTCAGGTGCTTTCAGACAATCAGTTCTCTCCAGGGTTGTTTCTTCAAACTGCTGAAAGCCCAGAAGGAATTGTTTCAACTTAACTTCCTATGGCTGCAGCCCCAGAAGAAAACAAGGAAGTGGTGGTCACTCTGAGAAGGGGGGGGTCAAAGGAGAAAACAGCCGCTGGGGTCAGGGGCTGTGAAAGGAGAGCCACTGCAGACCCCCACAGGCCAGCCCACCTCTGCCGCTCCCCAGACACTTCTGCAAGGCAGGTTGTCCAGCAGGAACTCAAACTCATAGAAAATCGTTCTGCTCTCTATCCTGGCAGAAGGAGAACTGGCCTCCAGGCCAGAAGTCTTCACAGGAATGTCTGCTGGATAGAATTGAAGAGCTGCCATTGCCAGCAGCCTTTCTCTCAGGAGGGACAAGGGATTTACTAACGGAGAGAGACAGAGTCCTCTGAGATCACCCAAACACCCTGCAGAAATGAAGCTTCCTGCCCTAGCAGCTCACATCGCATGTTCTTCCTTTTGCCAGGAACTAGGAGCTTTTAAACTGAGGCTTACACATGAGCCTTATGAGTATTACAACGTGTATATACAAAACTTTGTGACTGTAGTTACCACATTCGCAAGTGGGCCTATAACCTAAATAGGGGGCTGGTGATGCAGAGGGTATATATGATCCAGCTATAGAGGACAAGTTTCAACACTCACTAGAACCAAGCAACCTAGGATGGTTAAATTGAAGACATCCAAGCACCTCTATTACTCAAGAAGAAAGCAGGCCGTGACAAAAGGAAAAGAGTCATGTGAAAAGCACAGCATCTGTTCCCCAGCTCCTGCCAAACCGGACACCATGGTAACAGCATCATAATCTGCTGGGCTTCCTGAAGAATCTCAATGGTCTCTCTCCTCAGCAAACACCTGCACCTTTTCCAGGCATGCGAGAGAGTGATTTACTCATCATGCCTCATTAGCCTAGTGTGGCGGTGATTGCACAAACGTTGTGGGCAATCCAGAGCTTCCAGGACCGAACCATGGACTGGCAAAATAAAACAGGGATTGTGGCTGCATGAGTGATCACAGGCACTTATTCCATTAGCTCTGGAGTTAAGCCAGGGATAAGGTTACCAGGTAAAATACCAGTGTGATATTTGGGGTATCCTTCTAAGAAGAAAATATTGTTGTTTACCTGAAATTAAAATTTAACTTGATCATTCTATATATTTATTTGCTAAATCTGGCAACCCTTGCACTCAGAAAGTATCTGCTAGACACCCACATTTCCTCTCTCAGTTTAAATCAAGGGAGGCTGAAGACCAGGCCAGCACCCGGAAGTACTCAGCTAAATGTACACTGACACTCAAGCAGCTATCCCAAACAAGTCACCCTGGGAGTTTCAGAGTCACCTGGGAGCTTTAAATACTACTTCAAACCTAGCTGCATTCCCAGATGTTCTGATTCAAGCACTCTGAAATGAGATCCTGGCATCAGTGTATTGTTTAATTCCCCACAGATCATTTGAATGGAAAGCCAGGCTGAGAATCACTGAACTAGGACAATAGTTCACAAACATTAGTGCTCATTAACAAACACCTTTTAGGTGAACCTTGAACCATGTTATGAAAGACCCTCCCAAGGGATCTAGATCCCTGCAACTCATTATGTGGTCTCTGGACCACTGCAGTAAGCCTCTAACGGGAGCTCGCCACAAATAGGCAGCTCTCTAGAATCTCAGGACCCCCTGAATTTTAAGAAGATATTCCAGGTGATTTGTTTTTCCATTAAAGTTTGAGAGGCACTGACCTGGATAGATATTTAGCCCTTCCTAAGGATGTCAGCAGCCTGACTCACATTCCAAGCCCCTTCCTTCTGAGCCATCCCAGCACTTGGGGGCCCGGCCTCTCACAATAACCCCTCTTAGGCCTGGGATTATTCTGAAGCACAAAAAGGCCTGAGACAACAATTCCATCTTCATCAAATAATGACATAAAAAATATCAACTTGCCAATATCAAATTTTGCATAATGAACATTTGCTGTGCTTATAAAAGAAATACGTGTGGTAAAAAATAAATGAGTAAGATAGGAGATTGCTAAGTACTTGCAATTATTTAAAGTCGGTGCAAATAAAATAAGAAAAGGCATCGTAAGGTGAGTGTGATTGGGAATAATGGACAAAATTAAGCATAGGACAATGTGCACTGGGTGTTGAATACATTTTTTTCACAGCAAGGTCAGTGGTTCCTGTGGTTGTTCCATTAAAAGGACTAACCCCTGTCTCCAGGTAAGTAATTTTCAAACTAAACTAAGGGGAGCGCTTGAAAGTAAGTTAGCAAGAAATCCTTTAGTCTCCAGGCATTGATCTGGATGATTTAATGCAGCATTTCCATTCCTGGAATTAAGTATTTACCCTTGCCAAAATGCTTTCCACTTCCTTTATTAACTAGGTTTTGCAAATGCCCCTTTGAGGTCATTAAGAATTTTATTTCCACTTTTTCATAAGGAATTTGAGGTGCAGAGGTAGAGGGACTTGTCCAAAGTCATCCTGCAAGTTAACAGCTGGCATCCGGGCAGTCCTCTTACTGCTAACCTCTCATACCAGACTTGTGTTCATTCTGGGTCCTTTGAAGGTGGGGAAGGGGAAGACAACAAATAGACAACTCCTAAAGTCTCTTTTGAGTGTTTTTTAATGTTCAGGAGCCTTACATGGAAATCACCGAATTTTTCTGAAATTTTAGGCTATGATGGCAAATATAACACACCATGTCTTTGAGTAAATTCAGGTTTTGAAAATAATGCAATTGAATTGGATGTTTAGGTATGTTTGACCATTTGTATGAATTACGTGTTATGAATTAGTTTGGGTATATTTTGCCAAATGGCTGGTTTGACTGAAAATGTTCCTCTTGTTGAAGTTGTCACAGGTGTCCTTAAAGTACAGTTCTCAAACTCAAGTGTAGGATCGTTAACACAAGCCCCTGGAGGCCACTCACACAGCCAGTCTCGGGAACACACTCAGAGAACCGCTGCATGGAGTCCCGCTGTCCTACTTCCAGATTGCCTCCATTTAAATAAAACGAATATCTATAAGCCATTACCCTCAGACCATAAACACTCTCATAAGCATGACTGATCTGCTTGGGTTTTGCCTGTTTATAGACAAGGGGCACATGGTAGGGGGGAGTGCTTGTAATGAATGAGAACATTGCTTATTTCTCCCAGACTATTAACTATACTTCATTCCAACCATAAAGAAGTTCCAGGTCTCTCGTGTTAAATAAAAACTAATGTAAAGGGGGAGGGAGGGAATAGTGGGAAATGCTTACCTACATATCATATTTCTTTCAAGATGGTCATTTTTACTGAAGCAGGGGAGAGATGGTGGTAATAGATTCCAGGTAGACGTGGGAAGAGATGCCTCTTCCGTCACGGCCTTATTCTAAAACCCTCTGCTTTTCCATTGAGACTGAAGTCCACTATTATTACTCTACTCCTAACTACTTCCAGTCAAGGAAAATAGCAAGGAGAATTTTATTTTCTCACTGAGCCCCATAATGCCAATTCCTCCCTAGTTTCCCAAAAGAGTGATCAATTTCAGTTCATCAGTTTTCCAGGGGTCACCATCTGCAAGTATATTTCAGGCTGTCTAATTCTACGGAAGTATTCTCCAAGGTTTAAAATTTCCGCCTCTATCCAACCCTTTAAAAAGTGAATGCTTTGTGGAAATGCTATCTTTCTAACCAGTTTTCAGTCAACACATATTTACAAGGAAGCTTAACCATTTAAAAGTCTGCTCTCGGTTACAGGGAATAAATAGTAAATTGCTCTACAATAAAGCATTACAGCACAGAGCATGGCACAGTGCCTGATACACTGGTGGAGGTGGAAAAGCGCATGTGGAAGGGATTGTACTGGACACTTACTGGGTGATCAGCATCAAGCTCAGAACCATACATGAGAACTCTGTGAGAACATTTGTCCAATTCAGAGATCTTCCGGGGGAACCAGGGCACATCCTCTAGCTCTGTTGAAAATACAATGCAGGATCAAATATGTTAGCTCACAGATTGTGTTTTCCCCTTTGCAACACTTGTCAGATTGCAAAACCACCCAACAAGCAAAAATTGGCCTTGCCTCCTTCCTCTGTCCAAATGTTCTCTGGCGGATTCAGCATCATGATTGTAGTTTGAAATTTCAGCAACTGAATGAGTTCATTGAATTCTGTTTTGCCACACTCACAGTCCACAAAGATCTCCACCTCTGAACCTCTTCGCCGGGATCTCCTGGACTCGATGTGAACCATGTTGACATGTTTTTCCTGTGGAAAGAGAAGCAACATCTCTAAATCACCTCCAGGGCATAGTGAAAGAGATGCCACAAGCTATCCTTAAAGAAGTTGCCAAGTGTCCACAAATGAAAAGAAGACAATCTCCTCTCTCTTTGGTTGACGAAAACATGGATATGTTTTCAACCAGTACTTTTATGGATAGGAATATTTTATTCATAGGAAATCAGTTTTCCTGTCTCATTTTTAAAAGCGGGGGGAGGCATTAAGGTATGTGAAGGGTATAAAATGTGTTGTAATTGCAAACATAAGCATTTCCTGGCACAGTCCACATCCCACTGGTGGTGTGCGTGATTATTTTGGGGGGGGAGGGAATTAGATTATTATCTTATAATCCCTATATATCTTTATTTGTATGTTTCCAAAAACATAACTAAAACTCAAACCCCTGATTTTATAGTGGTATAAAGTTTCCACTATAAATTCAAGATTAAAAATAAACTTTAACATTTAAAAATAAAATAATCTTTGAAAAAGTAAATAGTACAAGAGGCCGCAATGGGGATGGCGATTTGAAAATGACTGATGTTTGGGAACCACGGGCCGAAGTGTAGCCCACACTGTAGGAAAAGAGAAGGGAGAAAAGCAGCCACATGTGGATCTCTGAAGACCCAGAGAAACTGAAAAGCAAACAAACAAAACCCTAAACGGGACCACTTAGTACCTGTTCTCTTTTAGCAACCTCCAGGCTAGCTTCATATGAGAATATTTTGTTGCAATTACCACCCCATGATGGATTTCAGGGGTAAAAGTCTCCTTACAATAAGGTGCTTGAGGGATGGCAGCAATTTAATACCTAAACCTCAGGTTTAAATTTCCCCAGGGATGTAGTCTTCCTTTCCCCTGGGTTCACTGAAGACTAAGTTCTCCTCTCCACCCTAACCCACCCCCAAATAAGCCGACACCTCCCCATCACTCTGGATGGGGCCTATGATTATCAGCACAATTGCTAATACAGTCCTGGGTGGCGTGGGAATTTTCAGCACAGGGGCAGGATAGGTAGTTTCCAGAGCCAGAATAAGATCAAATCAAATGGCGTGCTCCTCTGTGTAAAGAAAGCAGTCCTATGACAAGTCCTGTGCTCTGTTTCTGTTTTGATTAACCTCTGTGCAAATGCCACATATTCTAAACTGGCAGATAATAAAGGTAAGACTAACATTAAGTTCAAAGTTCAAGAGTCTTCACACAGATTGTGTCACTTTGGACTTCTAATGTCCTCTGGTTGAAGCAGAGTAGGTCCAGATGGGTTAAGTGTTCAGCTAAGACCCCATGACGAGCTGATGGCCAGGTGAGAGCGGAGGGCTGCTACTCCTTCTCCCCGGGTTTCTGCACTGCGCCCAGCTGTCTAATTGAATTGGCCTGCCTTGCGGCACTGTGTGGAGACAGCGCTAGATGATATAATTATGTGTAAAATATTGCCCCAGATTTCCATTACCACTGTTTATGGTGCCTGATCCTTTCTTTGAGGTCAAAAGAGAGCAAGGAAATATCTGCCAAATCGGGCTGCTAATTTCCCCTCTACAGTCATCCAGGAGACATTACAATAATGCCTCATATCTGTATACTTGACCAAGCATTTTCGTTTATATTATTTCATCACAACAACCTTGTTAGGTAGAAAGAATCATTACTATCTCACAAGTGAAGAAATTGAACCTAGGAAGCCGCTGGGATTTAGCCAAGCCAGGAGAACACAGGTCTGAATCCTTTGACTGTAATTCCAACTATCTTTCCACTGCACTAGTACCCAAGTCACCTCAAAGAACTAGGCTTCCTATCTTAGCTGGTCAGTAGCCATTGCCCCCAAACAAAATTTGCAGGAGGGTGCTTCCTGGAAAGTAAAGGAAACATCAGGTACACCCTGGCAGGATGGCAATAGTTTCTCTGGATTTTCTAACCTCATTCTCAACCAGACTCTTCCTTCAGTGTTCAAACCACCCACTCGGGCCTGGGAAAAGGGTACTTCATTTCTTTAAGAGAGAGCTCATATGTAAGGAGAGCGACTCATCTTTACAAATGGCAGGTTAAATTCATGAAACAATGAGGATTAGGGGAATACCAAATGCCTACACTCCGGCACCTCATTTTATGCAATAAATGGGCTCCCTGGACATGGGCATGATTCAAATGTTAATCAAATCAGGCCACAGGCTCTTGATATTTAAAGATACTCACACTGACTCCTTTTGCGTTTGCATTTCCAGGTGTGAGGCTCACACTTTTAAATTACTAACTGCCTCACCTGGCAACGGTCCGCAGAATTACTAATGGGCTAACTCTGAATTCATGAACCATAGTAACCCGAATCTGCTTATTTCATTGTTTGGCAGACAAACTTCCCTTGTAAAAGGCCTCATGAAGTTTGGTTTCTTCGAACCTTTCAACACATTATCCAGAAACGATTCAGTAATGTTTCAGAACAGAAGATTTGTAAGCAGGCACACAGTCACTTTTAAAGTTACATAAGGACAGTTTACATTCACCTGAAAGAGTTTCAGCACTTTGACCAATCCGCCGACTTCATTTTTCAAAGAGAATACAACCGCCGTCTTGCCACTTTCAGTAGCAGTTTCACTTTTGCTGGTTCCTTTGTTGTCTTTTTTATCATCATTTTTGCCAGAGTTAGCTTTATTTAGCTTTGAGAAGGTAGACACACACATGCAAATATTAGTTAGAATTCCAATGTTCTCTTCCACTATATATTTTTAGATAGTCCAATCATATGCTGGAAGCCCCAGCAATCATATAAACTCAAGAAGTTGCTATTTCAATTCAATTCCTAACTTTTGATCATAAATATTGGTCTAATTTTCTCTGGGAAACTATTTTCCAATGCTCTTGAGACATCATCCAGGGGCTAAAATTAAAGGGGGAATCAGACTTAATTCACTTTAAAAGCAACAAACATCTGACTCTCATAAAGTAAAAAATCACATATATGAATAATTCCTGCCTAAGTTTATTTTACAGCATAAAATTTTATCTGTTAGCCTCATTGATTCATATGTAAACTGTATTATTAATTATTAAACATAACAAAAAGAAGGCCAAATGTATATTTTCACAACAATAATTTTAGTTTCAATTAAAACTTAAAGACAAACTATTCATTTCATTCTGAAATGTGTCCAGAATTGCACTGAAATTGATAACCTTACTGTCTGCAATTACATCCATGTTGCCAGTGTGAATCTATCTGCAGAAGTTCAGCACAGAGGGATATATTCATATAAGGCCATCTGTGTCAGCAGATGATATCTGAAAAGTGACTGTTAAAATTCAGCCACAAAGAAAAAGGAAGAAAAGAAATGGTGTGGGGGGGAGGGGTGAAGGGGAGAGAGTGTAAGAGAGAGAATGAGAACTACCTAATCATTAGGTGCACAAGAGTAGAATCTGAGAAGCTGAAAGAGATTAACATTTTATTAGCCATTGAAAATACTGTATACATGGCTAAGTAATGACTATTAGTCCTTTTGGGTAAAGATAAAAATGGCAGATTCCAGCCATGACCAGTGTGGCTCACTTGGTTGGGCATCATCCCTCAAAGCATAAGGCTGCTGGTTTGATTCTCAGTCAGAGCACATGCCTGGGTGGCATGTTCAGTCCCAGGTTGGTCTCATCCCAAGTTGGGGCACGTGTGAGAGGCAATGGATCAATGTTTCTCTCACATCGATGATACTCTCCGTCCCTTTCTCCCTCCCTTCCTCTCTCTCTGAAAATAAATAAATAAAATCTTTTAAAAATGGTAGATTCCAGGGAGGTGGGGAGGGCTGGGATGTTGGGCTGGGTTAGGGGGAAAAGGCAGAAAACTATACTTGAACAACAATAAAACAAATTTTTTAAAAGAATTCTAAATCCAACAAAAATAAAGACAAAATTAAAACATTCACCAAAAAAAAATGGTACATTCCAGAAACTCAGATCACATTGTTAAAACTGCAGAATAAAAAAGCTGGAAATTTTCCTTTGATGAACAAAGCAAAATTAAGGTTTACTTTTTTGTATATACAGAGAACCTTCTCATGGGCAAATAGTGATATAATACAATCACACCAATCTATTACCTCCTTATGAAACTGAGAAATGTACATTAGATGTGGAACCTACCACTTAAGAGAGAAAAGATGTCTATGCAGATATTGGCATTTGATAGAACGTTTGGTCATTCAAAGCTCAAAGTCTTAGTACTCTCACCGTCAGCCTCCTCCTCACCACACATCACACAGATCTAATATATTTAATCAGCATAACTCGGAGTTCTCTCTGTTCTCCTTAAAGCAGTACACTGTGACTTGGAAGTTCTCCATGTAAAACCTCATCCAAATATTCATGGTATTTAAATGTTAGAAAACCTATGTTTAAGTTTTTGGTCTCAATTTTGCAAATTGGTTAAATAGTTCTACAAAACTTGCCCTGCTTACTTTTCAACATCTTTAGCAGTAATAACAAACAAGTACAATACAACCCTCTGGCACAAAGTTGGAGTTACAATAGGAAAGCATTTTTCTATGATACAGACTGAATTATATTGGTGATAAAGCCTGATAGTACAGTAATGAAATATCATTTAATTCTTTTATTAAACCACAGTCATTTTTGTCCCTTTTATTTTATTTTGTTAATAATTATTTTATTGCTGTTCAATTACAGTTGTCTGCATTTTCCCCCAGCCACTCTCCCCCACCCCAGTCAAACCCACCTCCCTCCCTGGCTTCCACACCCCCTCTTGGTTTTGTCCATGTGCCCTTTATAGTAGTTCCTGAAAACCCTTCCTCTCATTATCCCCTCTCACCTCCCCTCTGGTTACTGTCAAATTGTCCTTAATTTCTATGTCTCTGGTTTTTCTTTTGTTGATTATGTTCCAGTTAAAGGTGAGATCATATGGTCATTTAATATTTTTAATGACTAGAAATCTGAATTCATTTTTCTTTCAGTATCTTTTTTAGTAAGTCCCATGACAATAACTTCAAATCTGAATGTGAAATCCTGTAAAATATTAACTTTTTATCCTGTTACTATTTAAACATAAAGACTACCTTAAACAGTGAAAGAAGTAATATATAGTTTTTATTACTTCATCTGTTAAACTGAAAAAATGGAGAAATGAGGAATTTAGAAAAACTTTTGAAAAATTAATCTTTCTTTTATTCCAATAACCAGTACTTATAGAGAAAAATAGGAAAGATTATTGCAGTGTTTAAAGGCCAGGCTTTGTAGGTGGAATGGGCTATAGGAGACACAGTAATTTTGCAGGAACCCTAGAAACCTATTTCATTTCTTCTCCCTGTTCCTTCCCAGAATAAATGGCAATTCAAAATCCTGCACACTTCTTTTGGTTGTAGATATGACATTAGCTTATACAAACTCTTGTTGATATTCAAGACCTTCTTTGCTTTCTACTTATAAATTTTGAGGAAAAGAAGTTTAGCATGTAGCAATCAGTACACCTGCTTTACTTTACGGAGAAGGAAGATGGGAGGCAGACAGGGGTGGAGGGGTGGGGTACACAGGTGAGAGAGGAAGGAGTTGAGGTGTGTGTGCTTACTCTACACCAGGTGTCCATACGGCAATATGGCAGGATGAGACAGCTGCTACCCTGAAAACGCTCTCTAGAGAGTGCCAGCTACTCAGTACTCACTGTTAAGCTGCCAAGTAGCTGATGCTCTTCGGGCACCGCTGAATCCAGGGAAAACCCTCTTCTTGCCCAGTATTTACTGGAAAACATCATCATTGCCGGCTGCATGGATCCCGATGTAATTTTCTTTCTCTGCAGCAGGGGGTACTAGAGGGGCAATAGCAGCCCTGGCGGAGATTAAGAAAGGAAGGAATGGGAGAACAGCAGCCCGCTCGGGGCGCTGTCCAGAATCCTGGTGCTGAAGAAAGAACAATGTGAATCCTCCCCTCCCCAGGCTCCTTTATATGAGTGACTGGGGACTGATAGAAGGCTGATTAGAAAGAAACTCATTTCTGGCTGCTGATGGCTACAGTCAGATTACAGACCTGAAGCCTGGGGTTATCTGTGCTCATGGTGCAATTTGTTTCATAGGTCGAGTAGCCATTTGGGCGTGGGTGATGGAGAACAGTACATAACGGGGTGTTACTTGTAAAAGAAAATATCTGTCCCCTGATGTTAGCTCTCATCCCTCAAAGCTGTTACTGGCAAGTTAACCTCCGCCTTTAGGTGACTATGGATTCAAAGGTTTTGAGCTTCTTTGCAAAAGAAGGAGAATAATTTAAGAAATATAAGCACTGCTGTATCCCTAAGCCATTTGACTTTATATTGATAAGATTTTTCTGATCTGATGTGTTATGATTGTGTGTGCCCATGTGTGTGTATAATGGCTTTTATAAAGGCACTGCTTCCCGATTGTGGTGTGCTTTGTGGTGATAATCAGGCAATTTGTGAGGCTTTGATTTAGCCACATATACATATATTAGCCATATATTTGACTAATCACATAGATACAGTTGAAATATTAACCTTAGAATATTTCTCACAAAGTGGGGAGGAAAAGGAACCTAAATGTCTAGTCATTCCTTTGATGCTATCAATAGTTAGTGAATTTTTTCTCTTCTCTTTTAACTTAAATCCAACAAATTCACCATGTCACAGGAAATTATTGCCAACCTCCTGAGGGATGGAATATGCTTGACCAAACTTGCTTGTCTGACTGCAAAACTAAACAAAACCTGAAGCTGACGCTGCTTGCCAATGTAGAAAACAAAATAAAAATTCTTGAACAGGAATGCATGAACTAATACTAACTGAATTTTCATTGTTCCTGGAATACTCAGAGGAAATAATTATTATTAAAGTTAAATCAAATAATTATTATTTGATCTAATTTTAGAAATGTTATTTGATTGGAATTTCCTCTAAAAATAAGCTCTTACCAACTTATAGGAAAGGCAAGTTTAAACACACTGACTGAAGTAATGATAATATTAGCTAATATTCCATGAGTGCTTAGCATTTGCTGATTTCTATTCTAAGCAAATTTTTAAGATACTTTCAGCTAGAACAGAGTTTGGAAAGATGTGTAATTCAACAAAGATTTGTTAAGCACTCACTTTGTGTTAAGCTTTGCAACTGAGTCCTGGGGAAGCGAAATGAATGAGGTACAGTGCCTCCCTTTGAGGATATCACAGACTGGCTAAAATAAACATACGTGAAACAAATAAGTGAAACAAAAAATATTGACTTATCCACAGAAAATATTAAAGAACAAGGGACAGAGTGGTCAATGCCTATCTTAAGGGAGTCAGGATCGGCTTCTAGGAGGTGTTTGTAGCTTGAGCTGAATATTTAAAAGTCACTTTGTGTAGTCAATCAGAAGCAAATGGTGATGGTAAGGACAATACTTCATGTAGAAAAATATTTAGGAAAATATAGAGATAAAAGTTGTTGCTCAACAATAGTAGATATGGTTTGCAGGTAAGGGTGTCCAGTGAGACACAGGGCTGAGGAGGAAAGCAGAGTCCAAATCCTGATAAAGCTTGAATGGCATTTGGTGGACTTTGCACTTCACCCTGTCCTCTAAGTAAAAGGAAACAATTGAAAGGGTTTTATTCAAGGCAGTAACATAACCATATTTGTATTTTTAAAAAGTAGCAGCTTGGAGGAGGACTTCAAAACTGAAGGCATAAACCATTTAGGACTTGAAATAATCAAGCCAGAAGAAGAAGACTGGGACCAGGCAACAGCATTAAGGATGCAATAAAAAGAACAAGAGATGTTAAGGGGTAAAACCCATCAGACAGCATCTCTACTTAGATGGGGGAGCAGGAAAAAAGGTTCCAGGTGACTCCCAAATTTCTGAGTTGGGGAACTAGGTGAATGATAGTGTCATTCATTGAACATGTAAATAGCAGCAACTTAAGAGGGAATTTGTAAAGTTTAATTTCATCCATACTGCTATGAATGTTTAAGTCCAATTAGCATGTGGCTATATGAGGTGCTGGATTTTATCAAATGTTTTTTCTGCATCTATTGATATGATTATGTAATTTTTATCCTTCATTTTGTTTATATGGTATATCACATTTTGTGATTTGTGGATATTGTACCAACCTTGTGTCACCAGAATAAATCCAATTTGATCACGGTATATGATCTTTTTAATGTATTACTATATCCAGTTTGCTAATATTTTGTTGAGGATTTTAGCATCCATGTTCATCAAGGATATTGGCCTATAATTTTTTTTCTTTGTAGTATCTTTATCTGGTCTTAGAATCAGGATAATGCTGGACTCATAAAATGAGCTTGAGCCTTCCTTCCTCTTGAATTTTACAAAATAGTTTGAGAAGGATAGGTGTTAGGTCTTTGATTGTTTGGTAAAATGCACCTGTGTAGCCATTGGTCCAAAACTTTTGTTTGTTGGGAGTTTTTTGATTACTGCTTCAATTTCACTAGTTGTAATATGTTGATTCTGTGCTGATTCTTTCTAATATAGTTTTGGAAGATTGTGTGTTTCTAGGTATTTATCTATTCCATCCAGATTGTCCAGTTTGTGGACATATAGTTGTTTGTAATAATTTCTTATAATCCTTTGTATTTCTGTGCTGTCATTGTTACTTCTCTATCATTGTTGACTTTGTTTATTTGGGTCCTCTTTCTTTCTTTACAAGTCTAATTCAAAAAGCATTTCACAAAATCCAGCACCCATTTATGATAAAACCTCTCAGCAAAGTGGAAATAGAGGAGCATATATCTAAACGTAATAAAAGCCATATATGACAAACATCATACTCAGTGATCATACCGGTGGGCAAACATCACACTCAATAGCCTAAATTATATCATACTCAACATCACACTCAATGGGCAAACATCACACTCAATAGCCTAAATTACATCCTACTCAACATCATACTCATCATCACATGAGCAAAACTACAAGTGTTTCCCTTAAGACTGGGAATAAGACAAGGATGTTTGCTTTCACCATTATTATTCCACATAGTACTGGAAATCCTAGCCATAGTAATCAGAAAAGAAGAAATAAAAGGCATCCAAATTGAAAAAGAAGTAAAACTATCAATATTTGCAGGTGATGTGATACTGTATATGGAGAACCTTAAATATTCCACACAAAAAAAACACTACTAAAACTAATAAATGGATTCAAATAGCAGGATACAAAATAAATACCCAGACATCAGTTGCATTTTTATACACCAATAACAAACTATCAAAAAGGGAAACTAAGAAAATAATCCCACTCACAATTGCTTCAAATAGAATAAAATACCTAGAAATAAAATTAACCAAGGATATAAAAGACCTGTACCCAGAAAATTATAAAACACTGAAAAAAGAAATTGAAGACACATAAAAGTGAAGCATATGCTATGTTCATGGGTAGGACGAATTAACATTGAATCTGCAATCTACAGAGTCAATGTAATTCCTATCAAGATACCAATGGCATACTTCACAGAAATAGAACAAATTTCAAAAATTTCTATGGAACTACAAAAGACCTCAAAGAGCTACAGCAAGCTTGAGAAAGAAGAACAAAGTGGGAGGAGTCACACTAACTGATATCAAACTATACTACAAGGCAATAGTAATCAAAACAGCATGATACTGGCATAAAAAACAGACATATAGTGTTAGATCAGTGGAACAAAATAGAGAACCCAGAAATAAACCCACACCTTTATAGTCAATTAATATTTGATAAAGGAGACAGAAACATACAGTGGGGTAAAAATAGTTTATTCAATAAATGGTGTTGGGAATACTGAACAGATCTGTGCAAAAAAAAAAAAACTAGATCATCTTCTAAAACCTACATTAGAATAAATTCAAAATGGATGAAAGACTGAAATGTTAGGCTCAAAACCACAAAAACTCTAAAAAAAAATAGGCAGTAAAATCTTGAACATTTCCCATAGCAATATTTTTGTGATATATCTCCTCAGGCAAGGAAAACAACAAAAAAGTCAATTAATTGGACTACATCAAACTAAAAACTTTTTTACAGAAAAAAAACCATCAACAAAATGAAAACAGAGCCCACTGAATGGGAGAACATGTTCACCAATGCTGAAAAGGGGTTAATATCCAAAATTTATAAAGAACTTATACAACTCAACACCAAAAAAAAGCCAATTAAAAATTGGGCAAAGGACCTGAATAGACTCTTCTCCAAAGAGGATGTACAGATGGCCAATAGACATATGAAAAGACACTCCATGTCACTAACCATCAGAGAAATGCAAATTAAAACCACAGTAAGATATCACCTCATACCTATCAGAATGGTTATCATCAATAAATCAATAAACAAGTGCTGGCGAGGTTGTGGAGAAAAGAGAACCCTCATGCACTATTGATGGGAATGCAGATTGGTACAGCCACTATGGAAAGCAGTATGGAGTTACCTCAAAAAAATAAAAATCAAACTGCCATATGTATGGCCTACTGATTCCACTTCTGGGAATATATCCGAAGAAACCCATAAAACTGATTCAAAAGAATATATGCACCCCTATGTTCACTGTAGCATTATTTACAAAAGCCAAGATTGGGAAGCAGCTCAAGAATCCATCAATAGGTGGGTGGACAAGAAAGCGGTACTACATTTACACAATGGAATACTACTTGCCATAAAAAACAAAGGAACTCTTACCTTTTGTGACAACATGGATGGATCTGGTGAGTGTTTTGCTAAGTGAAATAAGCCCATCAGAGAAAGACAACATCATATGATTTCACTTATATGTGGAATCTAA